AAAATTATTTTGCGACATTGCTGTTGAACTGAATCTTAGGTTTAAGTGCAAAGAACATGATATTTAATAAATAAAGTTAACACAAAACATTAAAAAAACACCTCTTTGGACGTAATTTAAAATCTGAAACCTTTCAGATTTTTTTAATTCAAAATCTTCTGAAATTGAGTTTAATTTACTTTCTGTTCCCTCAATTTAGAAGGAGATTCGAAGTGCACCAGTAATTGTAGGTATGAAGACTGAAGGCATCTTAAAGAAAAGGAAATTCATATTTTAAATTATGAAATGAATCTTTCACCTCTTAAATTTAGCAGTGAAAAAGGGTCAGCTTCTGTATTAGTAAGTGTGGTTGAATGCATTGTTGATATTTATTATCTTGGATAAATTGCTAAAAGGAAGGAGAAATTGAAACATTTCCAATGGCTGCATAATACTGAAATAAGAAAAACTCTGAAATATGTGTTACATGCTTGGTTATCTTTAGAGAAATGTTTATCTAGAATCCTCGATCAGCGGAACTCGCGTCTTACATTTTTAAAGGTAGAAGTAAATGCTTGTAGAGTTAAAATAAAAGGCTCTGTTGAAAATTATAAAATAGCTTAAGTAAATGGAGATGTAGTTATTATTCGACTATTAAAAATAGATCTGAGAAAAATTAAGTAATTTCTGTACCTGCGAGCAATTTAATTGGCAATTTTCAAAATAGTCTAAAATATAAGCGTAAAGCTCTCCCAAAATAAAAAATGGGACACATTTTTTTATTATTGTAAGTTTATTTTGTGAAGAATGAATGTTTGGTTTTGTCTTTGAATTATAACAAAGCTTTTTCCCCTTTTGTATGCTCCATTTTGCCATCGTTCGATATTCTTAACGCAATTTTACAGTGCAGAATTATTAATTCATGTTTTGCAAGCAATGATTAATGATTAGAGTATTTTTATGTTATTAGAAGGTACATGTAATAAAACTTAAAAAAACAATGTAGATATTTTTGCATTTAAGAAATAATAATTGAACTTTCAAATATTAATTAGCTACTATTTAAAGTTAATTCATTATTAAAAATATAATTTCATTCTTTTCATTTCATATTCACTTATATCATTTCATATTCACTTATATCATTTCATTTCATATTTTTATTACATTATTTATTTTTATTATTTATTGTTTTTCATTAAGAAAATTCTCCTGATTTCTTAGAAAAATCTGATTTTTGAGTGTCATAGGTTGGCAGGTATGCTAATTTATTTATTAAATAAAGTTTGCTTGCTATTTAACCCTTTGACGCGTGCGATATTATTTTTATAATTTTTTTAACTAAAAACTCTAGAAATTGAATATTATGATCCTAGAGACAAATAATATATGAATTAAAAAAAAATCTACTCTTGCCCATTGTTCTGTGGGTGGTGGTCGCACTGTGAAACCACCGCGTGTGTAGGACTTTGAAACTTACTGATGTAGTAGGGGAAAAAACTTACCATTTTCCGTGCGCGTTTCCATCAAACGACGAAATTTACGGATTCTTAAAAAAAAAAAATGTATGTAAGAATTGTATTATATATAATTTTTTTTTACATTATTTTACGAAGTAAATCGTCAGAAAAAATTAAAAAATAAACATTTATGTAATTTTTACTATAGCAGTGAAAATATAAGTATCTACATGATAAGGACGTTTGGCTAAATGGATTAAAAAACTCAGTAAAATAAAGATAAAAATAAGACTTCAGTGCTTTTTATTTTAAATATCAAAGAACAATTGTTTTTTTTGTGACAATGTTCAAAGCATGTTTTGTCATTTTGGCACATGCCATAGACCCACATTGCCCGTTTTTCGCACATACATGTCTTCTATGAAGGTTTCTTCCTTGTGCTACAAAATGTGCACTGCTTGGATTCTAAAGGTTTCAATGGTTATATTGTTCAGCATTATTTATTTTCTTTTCATCTGGCACATGAAATTTGTGTTTTTTTTTATGTTAATGGGAGAGGGGGGCTTGGTCTTTTTGCTTTGCTACGGATCGTTCGTTTCCCATTCATACTTATTTTATTCGTATTTCGTCCCAAAATATTCAGAAAATATTTTAAATTTAAATAAAACTTTTACGCAATTTCTATTTTTAATTATAGCAAAGTATATTTACATTAAATTTAAATCACAGGAAATAATTTATAAAATCACAATACTAGCTTGGGGGTAAGTGTGTTGATGTCAGAGAAAGATATTTGGAAAAGAAAGACCCTTTTTCCTGGGCAGGTGCATGTATTGTTTAGTAATAAAATAACTCTGTGGTTTCAAAGCCCTTTATCTATATCCGGGTAAAAATAAACATTCCTATTTGAAAGCAAGCAAATGCCATTGTGAAGCAAACGCCAGTGGTTTCAAGGCAAGACCACCGAAGCCTCTAGAGGATTGTGATCATTGTGACAGAATGCTCTAGTCAGCGCAGTGGTCGCACCCTGAAACCCACAATAGCAATGCCATATATAGAGGGTTTTTTTATATATGCAGTTTAATTACTGAAAATGTTTATTGTTTATGATAGAAATCCTGATGTGCGATGAACTAACTTTTGAAATTTAAAGTTGTTTATATTAACGATAAAGGAGGTTATTTTGTCTCATCGAAAACGAATTTTAAAAGGCATCAGATCTGAAGTATTAATACCTAAAACATATATGATTCTACAGTCATTTTGTGTTATTTAGATGTAAAAGATGAGTAATCAATTCATTTTCATTAAAAAATTTCCAAAAAAAGAGGAGAAAAAAAAATTCGGAAAATGGTGGTTTCAGGGCGCGACCACCGCACGTCAAAGGGTTAACAAACAAATACATACTGCACAGTTTAGTGATAAAATTGTGCAGTATATATTTTTAAGAATTATTAGATTTTAAACGAGTGACATGTTTATTGTCTTAGAATAAAAAGTAAGTCTAAGCCAGTAAGCATATCATACATATTCATCTCCTTTAATTCAATAATGAGTTGTAAATGTGTAAGATACACATTTCAAAAATGTGTATCTTAAAAGGGTCCTGTTCTATTATTGGGGGCCAGATTCAGAAATTTATGAATGTATGCACGTGTGCATGTATGTGTAAATGCATACATTCATACTCCCATATATACATGCAAATATGAACACATACATACATGCATGTATGCATACATTTCTGAATCCGGTCCTGATAACAGAACAGTACCCTTAACAGCATTAATGGAAAAGTATTTGTATACTTAATGTTTTTGTGTTATCTAATCAAATAATTATTAAATATCCATAGCAAGTACTTTTCCCAAAACATTAAACATCATGGTGACATTACATGTTCTCTCTCCTGGTGAGAAAAACAAGATTATATGCTTAGTTTTAGAACCTACATAATCAAAAATTAATATATTTGTTTATTTGAAACAGAAAAGATTTGAGTGCATGGGCAAGTAAACTATGTCATGGATCAGTTTTGTCAAAATAAGTGTGGTGGATTTTGCTTAGCAGAAATAACAATATTTTTTTCTTTTCAACTGCTTAAGCTCTTTTCAAGGAGGATAAACAAACAAAAACAAAAAAAGATTTGCTTCACTTGCAAGTAATTAATATATATTTAACCTGTCAAAAAAGATAGCCTTGTTAACTTGACAAGTTGCTGTCTCAGTTAGGTCGGATATTTGATACTTTTGTGTATGAGAGCTAAAGTGAATCTGAGCTATAGGATTAGAGATTTGTTTAGATTTCACAGTTTTAGTCACATGTTCAAGCATATCTTTTCACAGATAAAACTTTAAAGTTATAATTTTTGTATAACTCAATGCATAAGAATTATCTAATCGTTGCCACATGTTCTATTCAAATACTATAATAAATCTTAAAATGATGTATAAAAGAAATTAGACAAATAAAAAAAGTTTTCCACAGATGATTCAGCGGTGCTTACCTAATGCACATGCACTACTCCTAAACATTCTCCTCTGTCCGAGACAGACTAGCGACAATATTTCCTCCTAATATGAATCATTTAATTCGGTTCTCACTTCGCAGCAAGGCAAAAATGCATGAAAATTCAAAATAGCTTCATTAAAAATTGAAAGATATAGAAAAAGATGAAACATCAGATACAGTTAAAACAATTAAAAAAACAATTTTTACAATTAAAATTGGTTTCTGCACAAAAACAAGCAACTTGGCCAGCAGGCAAAAAGGCAGATTTTTCGGCGCAAAAAACTAAATTTCCTGATGGTCCCACTCGGTAAAAAGACACTGAAGGTATAGAAAGACTCGATTAACTATTCTGCTCAAATGTCAACAAATGTGGCTGCTATGGTAAGAAAAATTAGGCTTAGCCGCGCTCAACCACTTTTAAATTGTTGATAATTCTACAACTATTGCACGCAGATTAACTAAAGGCATAAAAACAACATAATTCAATCATTTTTAAAGCAAAAATATGCAGTTTACCAACATATAAGGATTAAAAGAAAACTGAGCTCATGGAGCCAAGTAACAGAGTAGGTGTATATATATTTATATAGTTTTGGTGTGATCATTTGCAACCAAAAAGGGAGGTGCACATCTACATGTTATAGCAGTCTTATATACAAAATTTCAACGTTCTGAAGCTGCTCGTTTTTGAGTTACGTGAAGTACATACATTTGTACACATGTACAGATGCCATGAAAAAAATGTAGTCTGAATCAATTTTAAATTAGTTTTATAATTTGTTTGGGGAAAGAGTCCTTTATTCTATCCTTACGTATAGATGTCGCACAAAAACATTGTTAAATTGCATTCGATAGTGGTCAAAGTGGATATTTTCGTTGAAATGCGATACCCGGAATTTTTCTGGATTACAATACTTCCTTTACTTCGTACAAGGAAGTAAAAAATATTACAGTTAAATTGAAATTTAAAAATCAATGTAGTTATACCCTTGCTATAAACTGTATTGCAGGAGATAGATTTCTTCTAAAATTTTATTGTCCTTTTTATAGTTCTGGGAAGTTATTTCTGATGAACATGGCATAGACCCAACAGGAACATATCATGGTGATTCTGATCTCCAATTAGAAAGAATTGATGTCTATTATAATGAAGCTTCTGGTAAGCAAGAATTAAATAATATTCATTGATATGTTATGTGTTAAAACATAATATCTGTATTGAAGTATCTTTCTTGTTTTTTAGCTTAAGACTATTAAAATATTACATTATTTTCAGGAGGCAAATATGTTCCCAGAGCTTTATTGGTGGACCTTGAACCTGGAACAATGGATTCTGTTCGATCTGGGCCATTTGGACAATTATTCAGACCAGATAATTTTATTTTTGGTAAGGTTTCCTCTTGTAATTAAGAGTAACTGTAATATTTGAGCACAGTGTATTTTTATCCTGTTTGCTGTTTTTTATGTAACACAATTTACCCCTTTCAGTTAAGGATTGGCAAATAAGAAAATAACTATAACTGTTTATTCACATTAATTTGGTATTAAATAATTATGATTTTTTTTCAGAGAATTAAATGTTACTAGCAGAAGTTTACCTTGAACTCGGTATTATATTAAATTGGAGCAGAACATTATAACATCTTTTATAAATATATCTATATATGTTTATTCTGTATTAGTAAGTACTTACAATAATTCTGTATAGAATTTATTCAGTTATAACTACAATAAAATTTGTAGACTTCACAGAGTGTCACTAGTTTTAATGAGTGGATTAAAAAATTGATTCATTTTCATACCTCAGTTTCAATTTACTGCTTGGTGTACTTATATTATAATAAAATATAATTTCATTCTACATATTTTTATTACTTAAAAAATCTTTTTTGTCATTAAGAAAATTCTCCCGATTTCTTAAAAAAATCTGATTTTTGAGTGTCATAGGTTTGCAGGTATGCTAATTTATTTATTAAATAAAATTTGCTTGCTATTTAACAAACAAATACATACTGCACAGTTTAGTGATAAAACTGTGAGGTATATATTTTTAAGAATTATTAGATTTAAATGAGTGACATGTTTATTATCTTATAATAAAAAGTAAGTCTAAGCCAGTAAGCACATCATACATATTCATCTCCTTTAATTCAATAATGAGTTGTATATATCATTTGAAAAATGTGTATCTTAAAAGGAACATTTGAAACACAGGGTGCACCTGGCTGATTTACAACTTAAGGCCATTTATCTTCGTTCCTACATGTTTATTTTTAACTTGCACATAGTTAGTTATTTCTAAAGTAAATAGTGCATTTAAGTTGCATTACTAAATTTACAGAAATTAAGTTCATTTTTAGCCTGAGAACATATAATATATCAAATATTATGTGTTAAAGTGTCACTTGTATAAATTTTAACTTCTACAGATTCATTGTTTGCTAACTGAACTTTTCATTTCAGTTTATTCATGTGAATTTATTTCTATCATTTCGCATGTGTGCCGTGATTTCTAACTCAAGGTGTAGTTATGTATTTCTAATTGTCGTGTTGTATTGACAATGCTGAGAGGACAATTTTGTTTAATGGATACTTATTTAGGTTTTTTGCATTCAATTTTTCTACATTTCAGTGCTTTGTGTCCTTTCTCTTACAATTATAGTGCCTGAAGTCTTTCGCATCCTTTGACTTTTCCCATTGCTGTGGTAACTTAATGCATCGTGCACTTTGCTTTTTTTGTGTGTTTAAATGGTCAGCTTTTAGATTCTTCTAGTAATTTCATTTTTAAATGTATTTTAGTTAAGCACTTTTTCGCAAGATTCTATTGTGATTCTGAAGTTTATGAATTTTTCGGTTACAGTAGCAAAAATGTTAGCCATTCTGCTGGAATTTCAGATCCTGTTTCTGCAAGTTTATCTACAGTTTTAAAGGAAAAAGGTTAAGTCATCCTGCACTATTTCATTTTCATTTATCTTTTTAGAGATAAGTTGCTTCGTAAGACATACTTTAGTTATAAGGCCTTTTGGCTGAGGAATTTCATGCAGCTTCATGCTTCAGATGAAGTTTTACACTTTTTACTGTGTTTTACCTGAGTTGATTTCACACTCAGAGCAGTAATTGCTAAAGCTTTCTGATCCATTTATAAAGTTCAGCTTGGTTAGCTTTGGTAGTTTCTAGCTTAATTAACTGCCTACTCAGGACGTCCAAAAAGCTTCTGACTGGATTTAAACCATTTTCACTTGGGAGCACCATGTTTCAAAGTTACTTTTATCCAGTTTTTCTGTTTGTATAAGAGGGTTCATCATTTTTATTAGTAACTCAGTAAAACCAAGGAAAAAAAGAGTAATCTTTAGATGTACAGGGTGATCTTTTTTAAAGTGACACTGTTTGGAGCGCCCTGTAGCCCGATCTAATAGCCGAAATGGCACCAAACTTGGTATTTAGACTAATCAAGACATACAATCGTACAGTTAAATTATTAATGTTTATTTACTACATTAACTTCCCCAGTGAGGAATTAGACCACATTCAATGTGAGCACCATTCTCAGAAATAACACCGTGCATTCTGTGCACAACGTTCTCCATAGCCGTATGTAACATATCGCAAGGAATATTCCGCACGTCGACATTTCCTTTACATAACCAATGTTGATACCACATAAAGTTTCCGTATAATCCCAGAAAAAATCGCATGGCGTGAGATCAGGGGAACGGGCTACCATGGGAAACTGGTTTATGACTCTATCATCAGTGAAGTTTTGGCGCATTAGCTGCTTTACCTTATTACTAATGTGTGGCGAAGCACGATCCTGCATAAAGATTGTCTGTTGGAGACGGTTTCTTTGCTGAAGTTGTGGAATAACAAACATTTGCAGCATTTCATGGTACCTTTCTGCATTTATGGTGCACATTTGGGGTCCTGTCGGAGTGATGGTCCAAAAAACGAATGGCCCAATACGAATTTGGAATTCGGCTGTGAAATCACATCAAACAGTGACTTTTGGGGAATTTAATGGGATTTTGTGCAAGGCGTGGGTCTGCTCAGAAGCTCAAATTCGACTATTTTGTGTGTTTACGGACCCATTGAGATAAAAATGGCACTCATCTCCTCACAGAATGTGCCATGGGAAGCTCATCAATTGTCTATCCTTGGCCAAGAAACGATAGAGTGAATGTCACTTACTTATCATAATCACTTGGTTTCAGTTCGTGCAAGCGGCTTAAAATCCAATAACGCGCCGCAAAGCTCTCCATACCGTGGACTAATTCATGTCCAATTGTCGAGCTACACCCCGGGCCCTGCGAGTACCAGCAATGGTTCCCTGCGATCCTTCGACAATTACAGTTGCCACATCAATTATTACATCGTCTGATACTGGTTTACGTCCTCTCCCAGCACGAATGGTCAGTGACCCCGTTTCCTCAAACTTTTTAAAACCATTTAGCGATAAAGGCCCCTTTCGTAATTGTTTTCTGGTTCGAAATTCCCGAAGAGCTGCGGATGCATTACATTGATTCATGTAATACAGCTTCACCAGTAACATGAGAGGCATGTCCACTGGAACTCGTTTACTTCAGCTGAGATTATTTGTCGGAGCTGTATATTACTTGCTTTTATAGCACCTATTACTGGCGCTGTCATCGCACAACATTTGCATTTTTCTTTGGTACATGTGTTTTATGCTAATTCTCGTTATTGTAAGCTACAGCAGCGCCACAAAATGCCCTAGCAGCGATTTTTGGAACTAACACTTTTTTTCACGGAATCCTTTTTCCCATGTCTTGATTAGTATAAATACCAAGTTTGGTGCCATTTCGGCTATTAGATCGCACTACAGGGCGTTCCAAACACTGTCACTTTAAAAAAGATCACCCTGTACATCTCTAATGTATCTCTTGGGCATATAACCCTCTGATGTTTGGGGGTGTTGAGCTTGACATTACACATGGTGATTTTGTGCACCAAAGGAGAATATTAGATGAAAGTACTATCAATAAAATGTTTTAATTGGAACTTTTCTCGGATTTAGCAGAACTGATAAACAAGGCTTGTCAATTAATAACATATGAAAAAACAAAAAAATAGCTGGATGAAAAATAGCTACTATTTTCATACCTATTGGATCTGCTTGGTATTAGGTCTATCCCAGATACTTGTGTATGAATCGATGCATTGCTTCACAGTAGCTATGACCTGTACTGGAATCTCACTTTCTAAGGGGCTCCTGCTACATCTGTCTTCGACGGGAAATCCACATCAGCATACCATGCATCACAGCGCTGTACCACAGTGGAGAGAAGCTTGACGATAACCACACTGGTAGCCACATGAGGATGATGTGTAGTTCTGGCTTCTGCAGGCAATTAGTTTATAGCATTGCACTTCTCACTGTTTTCAGCAGTGCCCAGACATCAGGTGAAATGGAAATTTCCAACCAATTCCTAGACTGTATTTTGATACCACGCTTCTTTAATTTGGTATGAAATCAAATTTCATAATGGCAGTATCATCATTTAACAGGTTATCTGTATGGCTAGACATTGGAAAGAAAGGAATCCATCTGATTGAAAAATTTGAATCGCAAAAAAATAATTGGTAAAATTTTGTAAGTGCATGTTTATTGACTTTATTGAAATGTTTCTCATACATAGTATGATTGTAATTAAGTATCATGCACTCATTCATTTATGCTTTCCTCACCCATAAATTTATATTTTTGCAGCATTAAATATTTAAAAATTTATTCTGAAATTGTAAGGAAATGAGCTTGAATGAGTTTTTTCGAACATGTTCAGAAATGTCATTTGTTCCATAATGTAAGGAAAATCTTACAAATTTGCATGAATAAAAAAAAAGTTTTATTTTCACCAAAAAAATCAATTATCTTCTTACAGATAAATTTCATTTTCATACATCCAGTTTAAGGAAATATGAAAAAATATTTCATTTCATATTGTTTTCATTTTTCCTTAAACTGGAATTCATTCTAGGGCCCAGTTTAAGAAAATATAAGAATCAAGAAATAAGTTTTAATAGAAAAGTGTATAATAAATCACAGAAATGCAAGAACATTTTACTTGCAGTTTCAGATGCATAGATTTTATCATAATTATAAAATATTTTAATAGTTTCAGTAATTAACACTTTTTTTAACTAAAGAAAATTGTCTCTGATCCTTTACCAGAAAGTACACTTGATGCAAAAAATTTTGAAACAAGTTTGCAATAATTACCCTCATCCGTGTTGCAACCATATCTGTCTATTAAAAGTACTTATAAAATAATGAGGGTGTACTTTTAGTTTTTAGAAATAATTTATTTATAATCATAATAATGTATTATTAAGAGAACTGCTGCAATTAGAGAACTGCTGTACCAGCATAGTTCTAATTTCATATATCTCTATTCAATATGTTGCCAATTACAAGTTATTAAATATTAAATGTTGCCATTTACAAAATTATTAAATATTACATTTCCGTTTTTTTTAAAGAGTTCAAAAGTTTCTTTTTTTTTATTAAACAGTCTAAAATCAGTCCAAATACATGGCCACTTTCTAATCACTCTCCCACTTTGCTCACCATTCCTTGTTTCTGAGTTAGCAGAGTTTGGTAGTTGATCTTCTAAACTTTGAGAATATCTGAAATAGTATCCTTTTACATGTTTTCTGTGCATTAACTCCTTGTTCTGTTTTTCTGATATTCTCTTCAACAGCTGAACTGTTTTCTCTAATGTCTTATCTATTTCTTCTCAAAACTGATCCAACTGATCTCAGTATATATGATCTAGGCATTTTATATACTTCTACAACTGCTGGTTTCCAGCGATTATCTTGATATATCCTAATATACAATCTCCTTTGTTAAGCAATTGTAATGTTTTTGTATGATGTTCATAATATTACTTCTGCTTAGTTCTTTCTTGGTTGATTTTTTTTTAACGTTTTTCACAACTTTGAGGTTTTAGTAATTCTTCGGATGTAGGAAGAATCGTTCTTGTTGTTGTTCTTGTAGGTCTTTGAGCTGGTGATCCTAATATCTATTAGTTGGAGTGTTCCTATGAGCTAATACTGAAAAAGAAAGCTCAAGCAGATCATGCGGATCCTTAAACAATTTCTTTGCCATTTGTACTGAACGCTCTGCTAATCCATTCGACTGTGGATGGTATGGACTGCTTGTTAAATATTTAAATTGATATTTCTTTGCAAATTCTTTACTTGCAAACTGAGGTCCATTATCAGATATCACTATCAATGATATACTGTATCTTGCAAAATAAGTATACATCTTTGTTAATCTCAACTAAATCTATTGCCAACTTAACCAAGTTTTTATTTGTACTAGGCTCTGTATGTTTTATTCTAGTATTCATTACATATAGGACATTTTGAAATTTTATCTGCTTGTTCATAAGTGGCCAAATCAAAACATCTCTAGCTCTTTTCTTACATTTTTCTATACCAAATGACCCTCTGAATTAAATTTCCATCTCTTTTTGCATAGATAAAGGAATATTACCTTTCCTCCTTTGAAAAATAAGTCATTTTTCCATGTCATTCTTTTTATAGTCCAAGATCCTTGACTTGAGGTTCACCTGATGTTTCCTTTCGGCCAACTCTCGAATATATTTCTTTAAGCACTGTAGTGTAGCAATCATATTCACTTTCTTCAGTTATAAATTTTGTCATCAAATGCTGGAATCAGCATATAAATTTCTTTATCTTCATCATTATCTTCTGTTGTATTCAAATATGCTCTACTCATCTAAGTATCCACTATTAATAAGTCTTTTCCCTTTTTGTATCATACATCTAGATCTAATTTTTGTAAATTTAGCAGCATTCTTTGCAATCACTGTGGTGCTTTGAAAGAGGTTTTTTTTAGTTATGCTTTCTAATGGTCGATTATCAGTTTCAACTGTAATACATTTGCCATATATATATTGATGAAATTTAGAACATCCAAAAGTAATAGCTAAAAGCTCTTTTTCTGTCTAGCATAATTTTCTGACTTTCGTTAGGCTTTGAAGCATAAGCAGTTGTTGATTTTCTTGGAGTAAAATAGCACCTAATCCTTCAGAACTTGCATCTCCTGAAAGAGTTATATCCTTATTAACATCATAGAATTTTAATACGGGAGCTTTTACAACCAGTTTTTTAGTGTTTTGAAAGCTTTTTGATGTTTTCAGTCCAGTCCCAGAGAACATTTTTCTCAAGTAACTGTCTTAATGGTGCAGTAATAGTAGTTAAGTTAGGAATTAATTTGCCTAAATAATTAATCATTCCCAAAAATCTTTGTATAGAAGGCACATCTATAGGTTCTGGCATTTTAACATATGCTTCCTCTTTACAAAAATCAGGTTTTAGTCCATGTTCATTTAACTTATGCTCTATATAATTCACATGATTAACTTTTATTTTACATTTAGCCTTATTGAACTTCAGATTATTTTCTCATGCTCTGTGGAATACTTTTTTTTTAAGTCGTAGCTCATTTTCCTTTTCATTAGATTCCCATATTAAGATATGTATAATACATTCAACGCCTTCTAGACCTTCAATTATTTGGTTTAATTTTCTTTGGGAAATTTCTGAAGCTGAACATATGGCAAAAGGTAATCTTTTAAATTTGTACCTGCCAAAAGTTGTGTTGAATGTACACAAACTACTACTTTCTTTGTCAAGCTGAATTTGCCAAAAAGCTCTATTAGCATCTAAAACAGAAAATATTTTTGCATTTGGCATACAAGTGACAACTCATCCTATGGTTAACATAGGATAATGTTCTCATTTTATAGCTTTATTCAAATCTCTAGGATCTAAACTATTCTTATTTTGTTAGGTTTGACAACTGTGACCATTGAATTTACCCAGTCAGTTGGTTCTCTTACTTTCTCAATAACATTAAAATTTTTCATTCTTTGTAATTCTTTCTTCACTTTATCTCTTATAGCTATATGGGTATTTTTCTTGGAGGATGAATTACATATGTTGCATCTTGTTTTATCTGGATTTTATATTCTCCATTCAAACAATCTAAGCCTTCAAAAACATTTTTGTATTCCTACAGTAAGTCTTCAGTATAAACAGACATCACTTTTTGAATCAAACCTAGTTGCAGACATGATTTTAATCCTAATATAGAAGGTACTTTTTTGTCAATAACTTGGAATTCCACAACATATTTTTTCCATATTGGCAGTTAAGTACTACTTTTCCTAAAGTATCCATTTTGTTCCCAAGAAATGTAACTAATCTTTTAATTTCAGACTTCTGTATTGGAACATTTAACAATTTCACTTTGCTTTTAGAAATAACATTGCACATTGCTCCAGTATCTAATTGCAGATTTAGTTTAGTTTTATTTGCATTAATGTCAACAGTCCATTTCTCTTTGTTATCTGAATTTTAAAGTTTAATGTACCTACATAAAATTCTAACTCTTCCTCAGAGTCATGATTTATTAATTTCTTTCTCTTTTTTGTTTACCTTGACTGCTTCATTTTTTATTTTATAGCTTTTACACTGATTTGCGAAATGATGATAGATTTTTCCATATGACATTTACGATACTCATGAGATGTTCCACATTTAGAACAAACTTTTGACTCGTTTCTCAGTATTTACCTCTTTGTATGTATTCTTATTATGTTTACTTAGTTTCTTTTTTACCAAGTTTACACCCATCAGGAGCTCACTTTTGTGAGTATGGGTGTGGCAATCCCGAGGCACCCTAACCCTTCAGCGGATCATCTTGGTGAGACGAGGATCACGATCCTGGAGCTGTAGTGATCTTTACTTCTTTCTTTTTCATCTCTCCTTATCTATGCTAATTTCTTTTCTTCTGCCCTTGTGGTTTTCCTTTTCGGGGGTTTGGGCTCAAAGTGAGATTCTAATACATATCTTTGTTTCTAGTTTCTCACAGAGAGAAAACTTGCTGTGCGTAAGGCTGAAGAGGAGGGCCCTGGTAGTTGAGGGGCGAGGTACTGTCCCCAACACACTATATATATTACAGTACTGACTTTTTGTGTTTAAACTTGATAAAAAATCATGAAACTAGCAGGGCACACATAAGCAAACACAGGGAAGTCTACGCTACAAGATTGTTGACAGTATATGTGCAAAAACAGTAACATAAATTATTGTCAAAAATTTAAAAATCATTACTTGATAGCTTGTTCAGTATATTGGTCATTCTTGATGTAAAATGTGAATTTTGGATGTTGTCTTTTAGTGGACATTAAACATGATCTGTAAATATACTATTTGTTATCTGTTTTTGCAATAAATTTTAAATTATTCTCAGGTCAAAGTGGAGCAGGAAATAATTGGGCTAAAGGTCACTATACAGAAGGTGCGGAACTTGTAGATAGTGTAATGGATGTTGTGAGGAAAGAATCTGAAGGGTGTGACTGTTTGCAAGGATTTCAACTGACTCATTCTCTTGGTGGTGGGACTGGATCTGGAATGGGTACTCTGCTGATTTCTAAAATAAGAGAAGAATATCCAGATCGTATAATGACAACATTTTCTGTTGTTCCGTCTCCTAAAGTAAATAAATATTTTCTTCCTTTTTAATGTATTTCATCAAGAGCAATCTCATTGTAGTGTTTCTTGTGTATAATTTCATTCATACTATTAAATAAGTCTTTGAAATTTTTATAATTTATTCTTATCTTTTCAGGTATCAGACACAGTTGTAGAACCCTACAATGCTACTTTATCTGTACATCAGTTAGTTGAAAACACTGATGAAACCTTTTGTATTGACAATGAAGCATTATATGACATTTGCTTCAGAACGCTTAAACTAACTTCTCCTTCATATGGAGATCTGAATCATTTAGTTTCAGCCACGATGTCTGGTGTCACAACATGTTTAAGATTTCCTGGCCAATTAAATGCTGATCTGAGAAAATTAGCTGTAAATATGGTACCATTTCCACGTTTACATTTTTTCATGCCAGGTTTTGCACCTCTCACCTCTAGGGGCAGTCAGCAGTATAGAGCTCTATCAGTTCCTGAACTTACTCAACAGGTAAGATTTTTGTTATCATATTAAAATAAAGTTTTAAGTATAACCTTGCATTAAAATAAATAAGAGTCCAGTCTAAATCAAGAAATTAAGGGGGGAACCACTCATTTACTTAAAATCAAAGTAAACTGAAAGCATTGCTCAATCGGTTTTGCCTGTGATGCAGCAGTAGATAATTATCCCTACAATAAATATGCAAAACCTATTTTTACCTATATTTATCAAACAGGAAAAACAAAGAAATTGCAAATGCTGTAGAAAAGGAATGTTTCAAGTAGTTATTAGTCTGTTATTTAGAAATCGGGAAAACAGATATTGAAAAGGGAAATAGACCTATAGTATGATCGTTGCAACCATGAGTCCAAAAATGCAGGCACGATTTGGACTTTTTTTAAATAGAGAGAATGGGTGTGCATTAGGGACTTTCCCTATCTTCCGTATAAGTTATGAAAGTTTTTTTTTTAAACATAATGCAATACAAAGTACATTAAAAGAGTGCACTCAAGTCGAGTGCAGTCTGAATACTCTGAATTCAGCTCTGAACTAACAACTAATATTCCGAAACTTACTCTTTCCACTCTCGCATAGTTTTCCCCAGGCCAACCAGCGACCGAGCTGGTAAAGTCGCTGAACACTGATAGTTCGGTCCGAGGTTCGAATCCGCAAATGGGCTGGCTGTATGGGTGTTTTTGAGATTTTCCCCATGTGTTACGTGTATACGAGCCAGTTCCCCTTAGAAAGCCCTCCATGAAGGCATCCCTCCCTTTAGGCAGATAGCTCTCAAGGCTTTGCCATAATCACATACACACACACACACCCGGCCACCAAGGAATCTAGTACTTCTTGAAATTACTAGAAAGCATACGAGGACTCTATACAGTTACGGCTACATAGAACATCTATTATAGTTATTCAGGTACAATGCCCATTACATTTATACAAGAACCGGATCCAAATGGTCACTAAGATTGGCAATTTTTCGCCAAACTTAAAAGACAAAAATTGGTTGCCAACATAATGATATCTCGCCAGTGAGAGATAGCCATTTACCTAATGTTAAATAGACTTGCCCCTGTATTCTTATTTTTCTGGCAAGCTTGAGTTCTTTAGATTTTCCTCTTACATTAAACAAAAAAGTAGAACAATTTCATTAAACCTATTTATGTACAAAGTTAGTAACAATTTTTTAAAAATAATTTTAATGTATGTACAAGTTCCTAGACTTTGGTTTCTGGTATTCTGTACATTTCTGATTTTTAGATGTTTGATGCGAAAAACATGATGGCTGCATGTGATCCAAGACATGGAAGATATTTGACTGTTGCAGCAATGTTCAGAGGACGAATGAGCATGAAAGAAGTAGATGAACAAATGTTGAATGTTCAGAATAAAAACAGCAGGTGAACATCTTTGCATATTTTAGACAGCTTTTTGCTGTCATGGGTTAGGAATAAAACTTGTAAATGGAAGAAAATTATGCTTTTGCTATGAAAAAAACAATGCCGGTAATTTTTTTAGATCAGTTTAAAAAAAATGGTAGAATTCTGCAAATGATTTATATACTTATTTATTGCTTTAGTGTGTAATATGAAGCATTATTAGATTTGCTGAAGGAATCTAAATTACTTTGCTTGCACCCATATGTACCCTAAGAAAAAAATATGCAGTTTTATGGTTACATTTTAGATGAATATATGACAAAATTTTATTGCAATTTTCATGTCTTGAAGGAATGAATTAGGATTTATGAGACATTTGGTAGAAAAGTCATAATATAATAAGTAACTTTTATGAGTTTTGAGAATGCTGTAAAGAATACTATCAAAGTTTAAAGAGGGTGAAAGAATAAGATGTTAATTTTACCACAGAAAATGAAAGCAAATCTTACAACAAAATTTATGATACTTTGTGAACATTTCCTTCCCAAGATATGCAGTTTCACACCCGGGAATTCATATTAACTCCAAAAATCTTCATCAACATTTTGAGTAAAATTTAGCATATTATGAAGCAATAATGCAGATAAGTATTTTATTACTAAATAAGCATTGTATGCATATTTTTTAAATAATGGGTTATTTAAAAATTCTGGTTCATTACTCAAGATATTAATTTGTAAGTGGTTGGCATTTTGATACAGTATAATGTTGCAGATGTACAGAATCCCCCTTTTATTACTTAAGCATTTGTTGATATGAAACACATTTTATTTACAAATATAGTTATAAAATGGTTGGCATCCGAAATACTAATGTTCCGACACATAATAATGGTGTTTTTCTGAGGTAAGAAAAACGACCTTAAATCTAACAAATTTTTTTACACAAATTCTTACTACTATAAGCAAAATTTGCATTTTAATTGAACCACACACATACAGTACATACTAAAAATATATAAATGTGGAAAATAATCTAATAATTACAATTGAAAAAATTAATATGCTGTGGTAAATTTACTAACCTTGAGGTACCATGTATTGCATATCATCAGCAGACTTGTGTGACTGGACATCCTTACAGAGAAAAGCCCCCTCCACCCCCAAACAAAACTTGCATAAAGATGGCATATTCAAGTCTTTTTCTTTTTTTAACATCTCATATGTTAGGTTTATGTATAGCATAACTGGCAAAACTTTCATGTCAGTAGGAATTGCACATTAAAATTCTGCAAAATTAAAGAGCAGCAGCTAAATTTTCCATCTAGATATTTAATCAGTTTAAAACTAGTAGAGTTTTTGAATGCTGAGAAATAAAAGAAATTGACAAAGATGTTGCATTTTTAGTTAATGCCATTGTCACAAATATACATGCTTTTGCTATGTTTTCAGTTTGTTATGCTATGTTTTCAGTTAAAGTGTGTTTCTTCTAATAGTAAACTTTAGTGTGATGTCCTGAATATTCAGATTCAGACATTTTCAGATAGATAGAATTTTCTTCAGATTTTCAAAAGTGAAAGATTTTATGGTCGTTACATTTTATGGTTAAAAAAATCTTTCTATTAATGGAAGAATAATTGAGTAATTTGAAAAACAGAACCACCTCGTCCTCCCCCCTTTGTTCTTTATCCATATGCAATCCTGTGAAAACAGTAAGAGTGAGGTGGAAGAGAATGTACTGTGGATAAACTGCAATCCAATTACCAGAATTATTTTTAAAAAATCTCATTTTACTAGAGCTTTTATATATAAAAAAGTAGTTCCTCCCCCTCTTGCAATGACCATAATCTAAAAATCAAATCTAGCAATTGTAAGTTACTTTGAGTGCTATTTAGTAGGATTTCAGTTGCTACTAATCGGTTCCATGTGTTAATGTATTTGTCTTCTCTATCTTAATAGCCCTTACTTAATCAAAAAAATAATAATCCTACAATAGTTTGAAAGGGGGCTATTTGCTTTCTGCACATTGCTTTCTTCCCTGAAAATATACAATACAGTATACTTCCTGGTCAATCTAACAGTTTTGTTATAAATTCATTTTTTAAGTGATGCTTATTGAAAAATCATGCATGTATTTAGAGTTTTCCCTTCTCATAAAATGAAAAAGTACTATTTTTTAGTTCAGGTGCTACTAAAAGTTAAAAATGTCAATATTTTTTGTTAATGAGCTAAGCTGTTATCAATCATAAATGCTGCTGTGAAATGTAATTTGATATAGTAATGGCAATTTCAATGATACATTCAAGACTCATCTCTGCAAAAAATAATATTGCAGCTATTTGAACTGAGTACTTCATTATGAATAATTCATTATCATGGAATTTTATAGCATACACTTCATCTGCAAATGGCCAAAGAATAAAATCTACTATGGTTACTTTTTCAAAATTTTGCATGGTAAATATGTCTAAATCAAAAGATATTGACACTATGTTTGCATGTGTAAGGTTATATTTGGTGCACATGCCCACATTTCAGCTGCTGCCCTATTAATAGAAGACTGTTAAAATGTTGAAATGTTAACATGTTGAGGACGGTGCAGATTTTGCTATATTGCACCACCAGATGGCAGTGCCTTAAGCTGAATTGCTTTTAGATAAATCAACGAATTTATGTGGTTCTGCAAAAGTAAATAAAAAATTTCTACCAGCACAAGCGAAAAAAAAGCAAGGTGGCATTGCGAGTGCTGAAAATCCTAAAGGAGTTAAATTTCTTAGATGGACAGACAAATGGTCAGTTTGCATGTTAACTACTTGCAACAATCATATTTGTACTATGATTGAAAGAGCAAGTGGTAAACTAAAACCTGATGTTATTTTTGACTACAGTAATGTGAAAAAAGGCGTTGATTTATGCAACATCAATTGTCAGTGCATTGTATATTCGTAAGAGGTGGGATACCAAGCATTTTAATATTTTAAAATTTGGATAAAATATTATTGATTGGCTGTTTTCCGTATACAGAACCACAAACACCAAAAAGAACTACAACAAATTTTTCTTGAGAAGTATTCTGGAACTGTGAGAAAATCGCAAAAAGGATGCCTTGAATGCTATAAATCCTTATCTGCTCGACAAGGTAGAATCAGTGTTGCAAATAAATTGAAAAGGGTTACAATGTTTTGCTGATTTTGTGAAGGTGAACCACCACTATATCTAAAATGTTTTTTTAAAAAAACCACAAAAACAAATAAATATGTAAATACATTAAGTCTATTATAGGCTACCTGTAAAAATAAGCTTTTCATTTTTTCAGTAAAGTTATTTTTAGCCACAAGAAGTTTTTTCATCTAACAAAATTAATATTATAAAACTAATGTGATCCACTGGTGGTACACGTTGCCAGATGAACCATTCGTGTGTGAGCCACCGGTGGTACACGCTGTCCTCAACTTGTTAATATAATCTTGCTCAAATAAAACAGTACAGAGTTAATCTTTATTTACAGGTGTTATTTTAGCATTTTTTGATTTGAAAAGTAGCTAGATTATTTTTTTTTTCCATTTTTTTCACTTGCATGTATTAACATCAGAGTTTGGTTTATGAATGATAGCCAAATCCTCAGGAGCTAGGTGGAGGAGGAGGAATACCTTAGAAGACTTTTCAGTAGAAATAGGCTTATATGCTCTCTGTACCGAAAACTACAAAAGCACCTCTCCATCAAGCCTGTTCTACTATCCCGAATTGATTACTGGTAAGAATTACCAGTGTTGGATTGCAAGTATATTGTAAAAATTGCTACTGATAGATATTGACAATCAACACAGTAAATCATGACCTGTATATACTAGATCGTAAGATTAAAATACAAAATACGAGCTAGTATGCCATTTCTCCCGAAAAAGCTATCTCAAAGGAAAATAGTCATTACATTTTGAAAACTGCCTGAATATATTTTGGTGAAAAATATAAAAACTGCATTTTTTATATCAACTAACAGCAGTCCACTAAGAAAACACTTGTCAAAACTTACTGTTAAAATATAATTATTGGTTCCTAAGGCTTCTCCTTTTTTATGTTGTAAAAACATTTAGAATTAAAGTTTTTGTCAGCATGCTGCAAAAATAATTATTCTTGTAACACATTAAACATCATAATAGTACTAAATTTAATTGTTTTTCAGTTACTTTGTGGAATGGATTCCAAATAATGTGAAGATTGCAGTGTGCGATATCCCTCCTCGGGGTCTAAAAATGTCTGCAACATTTGTTGGCAATTCAACAGCTATTCAAGAAATATTCAAAAGGATATCTGAACAATTCACTGGTAAGTCAAATGCTAAATTATCATGTTTTTCATTACATATACTCAAGAGCCAAAACACTATGACCAACCCTACATTTTGTGATGAACGCGCCCGGATGACGTGGAAGGCACGTGATCAGGTAGAAGTGGTATTTAACTGCTGCAGGAGAGTCTGAAGAATCATTCTTTCACTTACTTCTGTGTGTGATGGGAAAGGCTGCGGATTTAAGCGACTTTGATAGAGGGCAGATTGTAATGGCTCGAAGGCTCGGAACTAGTATTTCCGAAACTGCATGACTCGTGGGTTCTTCGTGATCTACAGTTGTTAGTACGTATGAAAAGTGGATGAATGACGGTGAAACCAGCAGTAGACGACATGTTGTTGGATGTCCACACGCTATCAAAGAAAAAGGTCGTCGGAGACTGTCTCGCATGGTGAAGCAAAACCGGAGCCAGACAGTGGCTCAGCTGACAGTCGAATACAGTGCAGGGCCAAGTAAAAAAGTATCGGAGCACACTGTTCATCTGACACTGTTGGGTATGGGGCTATGCAGCAAACGTCTCACTCGTGTGCCTTTGCTGACCAAGCTTATCGCCAACTGAGCCTTCGCTGGGCCCGGGCACATCGCGACTGGTCCATGGACTAGTGGGAGAGAGTTCCCTGGTCAGATAAATCACGGTTTGTCATTCATCACGCGATGGCCGTTCGGATACGTTGTCTTCAGGCGAACATTGTTCTCCTCAATGCACAGAGGTCATACACAGGCCGGTGGTGGCGGTATTATGCTCTGGGGACGTTCTCTTGGGTGTCTCTGGGACCGTGGTTGTGTAGAGCAGACCATCAATGCCACAGTATCTGAACATCATTGCGGACCAGTTGCACCCTTACATGGCCTCTGTTTTTCCAGCTGGAAATGGAATGTTCCAACAGGACAACGTCCCGTGTCACAAAGCTACATTGTGTTGAGTGGTTCCAGGAACATGATGCTGATTTCCAGTTAATGTCCCTGGCCGCTAATCACCGGATCTCAATCCGATAGAACACATTTGGGATGTCATGGGACAGCACCTCAGAGGTCAAAGACACCAATTCACAATATCTCAGATTGCGTGACCGTTGCTACAACTCGGTACAATCTTTCTCCGGCCATCTATCAAGGACTTGTGGTATCCATGCCAAGGCGGGTTGAAGCTGTGTTGCGTGCCAAAGGTGGCCCAACTCGTTATTGACAGATGGTCATAATGTTTTGGCTCTTGAGTGTATATTGTGCTGAAACTGAAGTTAGTGGAACTGTAAGAAATTTTTCATTCTAAAAATCACTTTGATTGAATATGCAAAAAATTTTTCCATATACTGTTAGCTCATTAGATAGAAGAGAGGAAATATTATTTGAATCATATGCTGCCTATCAATTGTATTATGCAGTAAGATGCAGAGAGATTTTATTATTTAGCAAACAAAAGTAAGATCATATCTTGATAGAAAGAAATCTTCCTGGTAGACTGCTAAATTAACCCCATAATACACCAATAAGAATTCAGAAATGGTCTTTTCTCGACCAATTCTTTTATTTGAACTCTAAATTTTAGTGGGTATAATCTGTTGTATTCATGTCTGAAAAATTCTTGAATGTGCAGAAATAATTCAATTGGGTGTACTTGAGTTAACTCAAATGAGTTGAATTAAGAAGTTAATTGCTGTGTCAAGAATTAAGAAGTTAATAGATTTATTAGTGCTCTAAAAGAAGTCAAAATATGATTGCTAATAAGTGGAAGAAATACTATTCCATTTAGCAGTAGTAGTATGTCAAAGATGCACATAAACTGGCTTTATGACAGCTAATGTATCCTATGCTATCACTAATATTTTACAAATAAATGCAAATATTAAATATGTTAAAATAAATTAAAATTATATGATAACTATCATATGACTAAAAGTTTAAAATTGAAGAACTTAAAATCATATGGCATGGAATATGTGGTAATATATTAGAAAAGGTTTGTTTCTCAGATGAGAACAAATTCTACTTCTATAGTAAATTAGATGGTATTATGTTATTGGGATTTATGGCACTAAAAGTATGCACAAGTTTTCAGAGGAGGCATAGATTGATAATGCCAAACTCAATATTTCATTTTGAAAAGTAACTGTTTTTAATCATTTGTTAAAAAAACAGTAAACCTAATTTTATTTTCAGTGGACTGTTAGATGATTACCGTATTTGACGGCATATAAGACACACCCTTAGTTAGACAGCCACACACAAGGGAAAAAAGTTTCAACAGCATGGTTTCTTTTAGTTCTCATGTTTCGTAAAAAGCCAAATAAACAATTATTGAATGCAATTACCTTCACATAAAAATGCAGGTAACGTTTTTGAGACCAAATTTAGGGAAAAAAAGTGTGTCTTATATGCCGTCAAATACGGTAGTTTATAAATTGTCCCCTTCATATATTTCTTAAAAAAGTAATTTTCAGGTTACAGTCATTGTTCATTTTTTTATTATTATTCTAGCAATGTTCCGCAGAAAAGCTTTCTTGCATTGGTACACTGGAGAAGGTATGGATGAGATGGAATTTACTGAAGCAGAATCTAACATGATTGATTTAGTATCAGAATACCAACAGTACCAAGAAGCAACTGCAGATGATGAAGCAGAATTTGAAAATGAAGAAGAACCTGCTGATGAGAACTGATTATTTTGTATTAAAATATTGTATTTAGTTTTTCAAATTTTTTAATGCCTATAATGAATAAATTTTTCAAACCTGCAAGTTTTGTTATGCTTAAATGACATCTTACAGCAGATTGAAAGAATTAATGGTATAGTTTAAGACTTTAGTGTATGTGATTTTTAATTTTTCACGTAAAATTATGCAGCTTTAGGTCTAGTGTATTGCCCAAATTTCATGTTATTTTAACAGCAGTTGAGTAAATTGCGCTAATTGCTGTTCTTTCCCCTCTCCTTGATTTTCAAATTTTAAATGCTGTTTAAAAAATTGAAAAATTAAATATGTAAATGCGGTCCCCCTTTTTCTTTGAATGTGCTTTGATTTTGATGCTCAGATAAAAACAAGGATTCATTTTCTGTTAATTGTAATTTCAGTAATCACATTCTGTTTTTTTTTTTTTGGGTACTAAAAATTATTACACCTTATCAGCACGTAAACTTTTCTCATATATGACTTTTTATCAAGATTTTTTAATATTAATTACAAAACAAAAATATTGAAATAAATATTTTTCCATAAATAATTTTTTTGGTAAACTATATACATATGAAAACAAGTAACTTTAGAATTTGTTTTAAGTCTATGAAAATTAATGAAAGGAAATTGTCTTGATGAGATGGCTATGCTTGCTTTTTTTATGCATAGTTATTACAAAATCCATTAAATCATGGTGCAATATTTTACACTTCTAGATTTAAAGCATCTTCATTTTTTAGCATGTACAGTACAAAGTCCGAAATCCGGACTCGTCGGGACTTCAGCAATTCCATAATTGGGATTACTGCGGACATTAGATGGTCAGTTTAAATCTAGTAAGATGGCATGTAAAAATTATAAAATTAAAAATATGAAATTGTGATTTATTAAATAATGAAGTATTTATGATCTAAAGGCTATCAAAATTTACAAAAAAAAAAGCTTAACATTTGCTTACTTATTTAACATTTCTTTCAGTGCAAGTTGCTTAGTTTTTTGTGCTAAATACTTTCTCTTTAATTCTGTAGACAGACATAATCTCTTGTTCAGTTACATTGTAGATGTCCTGTAACTGCTGTGTCAAGAATTCTGACTAGCTTGTCGATGAAAAGTTTTTTGCTTATAGTAACTTCTCTGCAACTTTCTTCACCATCGGTAGCGGTATTTTCTGGATTTAGAATCATACCTCAGATTTCACCATTCATTAATTGATTGATGACCGAGAAGCATTATCAACACAATAAAAAACGTCTTTTATATCATCTTCATTTATTACCGCTTCTCCGCATTGCATTACAAAATCCATTAATTTCACCTTTCTTTTGCAATATCCGAAAACCTTTAAAATTCATGGCTATCAAATTTAGCTATTGTTCACTATACATATCATTCTCATTTATTACCACTTCTCTGCATTTCTTTACAAAATCCATTAATTGGAAAATTTCACTTTTGTTTTGCGATATCCAAAAACCTTTAAACCTCGCTGCTATCATCATCAAATTTTCTATTTCCTATATAATTTGCTATGCTCATGGCTTGGCTACAGCAAGTTCCTTAAATTTTATCTTGCTTGTATCGCCTGAACAATTAAGCCCAATTGTATTAGTTATTTACTTTTCTATCTGCACATGCTTAGGGATTATCAGAGTATGATTAATATGTCTCACATATACTTAACTTGCGCTATGAATAAACTTCACGTTGCAGTGTCTGTGTACAATATAACAACGGTAACGTGTCTCATTTACGCCACTCGTGTCTGCGATGCATCCAGAACTGAATCGAGAAATAAACAATCTCGTTAGGCGATGCGCACACGTATTTTCATTTTTGCGATAAATTCCTATCGACGTGGTGTTCACGTCGCTTGCGGTTTGAGACAAAAAGCATCTCGACGTGCGTGGCACGTCTTTTTAGCACAAGTGGTTAAGCCTTATTGAGGGCCGGCGCTAGATATCTTAACCGCCTGATGCAGTCTCTGTGGATCATAAATTCTATGACTCGGTGCGGCCATACGAGCCCAGGTGCTGGTTCTGGGTTTATGTGAATAACAAATTGGTCATTCTTAACCCTTAAGTACAGATGTTCATTTTCCATTATGTTAACACCGAGGAGGGGTCTCTCAGACGGCACTCTATTTTATGTATTTAAAAAATATAAAACTCTAAAATAATGTACTGTTGTTATTATGCAGGGTGATCCAGAATTCATCATCAGTATTTGGTGGAGTGGTAGGGAATAGGAAAAGGAGATTTCACATAGGAAAATATGGGCGCAGATGAATGCATTGTGGTGTAGAGGGCGCTGTGTGTACACAACTTCCATACATAAGCACAGCTGGTTTGATGTGTGCAGCCAGTCATCATTCGACTAGGGTGACTTTGCAGAAGTAACATGAACCGGTATATGTGGAATAAACTTGCAGATATGCATATAACGCATATTCCAGAAAGTCTGGTTGTCCATGAAATGCCATTGTGAGTCATGTATTTTAGCACATGGTCAGCAGTTCGAGCACCTCTTGTAAGTCTAAAACCGATGCAAAGAAATGTTACATGTAAGATAATAAATGTTATTTTCCTTACTACTTCCTTCTTAGGTGTTCTTTCCATAATTGAACAGGGGTCATTTTGCCCTACTACATGGCATATGCACCCATGTGTTCCTATGTGAAATCTTTTCCTATTCCCTACCTCCCCACCAAATATTGATGAT